TGAATGTTTGTTATTGATGAATTAACATTGTATACATGCTAACTGTTTAAAATGAACTTAGTGAATGTTTGTTATTGATGAATTAACATTGTATACATGCTCACTGTTTAAAATGAACTTAGTGAATGTTTGTTATTGATGAATTAACATTGTATACATGCTAACTGTTTAAAATGAACTTAGTGAATGTTTGTTATTGATGAATTAACATTGTATACATGCTCACTGTTTAAAATGAACTTAATGAATGTTTGTTATTAATGAATTAACATTATATACATGCTAACTGTTTAAAATGAACTTAGTGAATGCTGGTTATTGATGAATTAACATTGTATACATGCTCACTGTTTAAAATGAACAGAATGAATGCTGGTTAGTGGTGAATTAACATTGTATACATGCTCACTGTTTAAAATGAACAGAGTGAATGTTGGATATTAATGAATTAACACTGTATACACTCAGTGTTTAAAATGATCAGAGTGAATGTTGGTTATTGGTGAATTGTTATTTGTTTGTTAGTAATAGTGAGTTGATGTTGTAACTCGTTAGAATGGATGGTATCATAAATGGTGTTGATTTTTTAGCCATTAATTGACATAACAAATATGCAGAGGAAGTAGTTGTTAACCCTGATTATCAATGGATATTTCCAGATAGTTGGTTTTAATGATGAATTAATGCTGTCAATGGGTAAAAATGTTTTTTACTTGTGTTTTGAAGAGTTCTGACAAAAAGTCAGCTTAAGGGTAACTGATATTGTAAGCTTGAAAAATAGATGTTTTTGTTAATCATTAAACATGAGAATCTATATATATTTTTACACATATATATTTATATTTTTGAAAAAAATGTTATTTATGTGTTTGTAATTTTAAAGGTTTGTTTAAATTCATGACACTTGTATTTTTTGAACAATAAGATATTGTAAAATAATCTAATATGAAGTTAAGATTTGAGAATTAATGAATAACATCAACAAATTGAAATATAAGGACATGAAGCTAATAAAACCTGAAACTTAGGTAAGCATGGACAGTCAAACTTCTGATGACACACGCCTGAGTTATGTGACTACTGGTGTTTTGCTACAGAAACTTATCCACAATCGTAACATGAACATGTACACTCATGTCATAATAGATGAGGTAAGTCCCCATTAAAATTGTACCTATATGTTATTGTAGATATGATTTTACCTAAGGATTTCTTATTAGCTGTAGATTAATTTGTATATATATATACTCACACACACATCCCCTCCACCTTTGTTTTTAGTTAGGAAAGTTTCTAACCAAAGTTATTAATAGTAGTAGAGTGAAATCATACAAATAATTATTTTTGTCATAAGGCATTAGTAATAAGTCCAATGTATTTTTTTTAACATTGCATTATTTATTCAGTCTCTCAGAAATTTTCAATGGGTAGAAAGAGTGTATAATGCAATTTGCTTAATCCAGAGCTGGGATAAGAGAAAACACAGAACATATGACGAATATGACAAAACACATGAAGAATATGACAAAACACAGAACATATGACGAATATGACAAAACACATGAAGAATATGACAAAACACATGACGAATATGACAAAACACATGAAGAATATGACAAAACACATGAAGAATATGACAAAACACATGAAGAATATGACAAACCACATGAAGAATATGACAAAACACATGAAGAATATGACAAAACACATGAAGAACATGACAAAACACATGAAGAACATGACAAAACACATGAAGAATATGACAAAACACATGAAGAATATGACAAACCACATGAAGAATATGACAAAACACAGAACATATGACGAACATGACAAAACACAGAACATATGACGAACATGACAAAACACAGAACATATGACAGATATGACAAAATATAGAACATATGTTGAACATAGCTTGGTTGGAGTACTATTCTTATATTGCATTCTAATTTTCAAAAAAATAGAATAAAATAATACAATCATGTTTGTAGTTTAGGTTAATATCTAACCAGCAGTATCAATAGTTATAGAATAAAATTGTATGAACATGTTTTTAGTTTATGTTAATATCCAACCAGGAGTATCAGTAGTGATAGAATAAAATTGTATAAACATATTTTTGGTTTCTGTTAATGACTAAGCTGGAGTATCAATATCTAACCAGGATTATTAATAATGATAAAATAAAATTGTACAAACATGTTTTAAGTTTAGGTTAGAAACTAAGCAGGAGTATCAGTAGTGATAGAATAAAATTGTACAAACATGTTTTTGTTAGTATCTAAACAGCAGTATCAATAGTGATAGAATAACATAGTACAAACATGTTTTTAATTTAGGTTAGTATCTGAACAGGAGTATCAATAGTTATAGAAAAAAATTGTACAAACATGTTTTTAGTGTAGGTTGGTATTAAACCACGAGTATTAACAGTGATAGAATAAAATTGTACAAACATGTTTTTGGTTTAGATTAATATCTAATCAACAGTATTAACAGTGATACAATAAAATTGTACAAACATGTTTTTAGTTTAGTATCTAAGGAGAAGTATCAATAGTGATAGAATAACATTGTATAAACATGTTTTTTAGTTTACATTAGTATCTAACCAGCAGTATCAATAGTGATAGAATAACATTGTATAAACATGTTTTTAGTTTTTGTTAATATCTAACAGGAGTATCAATAGTTATAGAATAAAATTGTTCAAACATGTTTTTAATTTAGGTTAGTATCTAACCAAAAGTTTCAATAGTGATAGAATAACATTGTACAAACATGTTTTTAGTGTAGGTTAATATCTAACCAGCAGTATTAACAGTGATAGAATAGCATTGTACAAACATATTTTTAGTTTAGGTTAGTATCTGACCAGAAATATAAAGATATTATAGTGTTATACAAGTGGTTGTTTTCTGAGTAGAAGTTAACCTATGCTAAGGATATAGGCATGGGTTGATTAATATGTAGTTATTATAGTTAAGAAATTCTTGTTTAAAGAATGATTAGTCATTGGAAGAAATTTGATTTTTCCACATTTGTAAAATTAGAATACTGTTTATAAAGATTTTAGAAGAAGCAAATTTCTCATTGTATGTGTTGTAATGTTCTTGAATTTAGTATTTTTGAAAATGAATAAAAGTGATAATTAATTGCAGTAAGCTTTTGATATATTTGGTTTGTATCTGTTTTATTTTGTATATTTAGGTCCATGAGAGAGACCAGGATACAGACTTTGCTCTCCTGGTAGTTAGGAAGTTTCTGAGAACAACTTCAAAAGCAGTTAAGGTAAATATTTAGTTATTCATTCTTTGTATGGAAACTACTGAAATGTTTAGATTTCACTCATTGTTAGATGTGTTTTATTTCACTCAGGCACTATGGCTGTCTTTATTAAGCAACCTGTCTATTTGTGACATTGATGTCCTGAATGTTATCTTAGCAAGCAACAGATTAACATTTTCACCACAAGCATCCTTTACAGTGCATGTCACTAGGTTTTTAATGTTTTACCTTCAAAATTTAATTAAACATTTTTTTTGTTTACATAATACCAATTAGTATGACATAAAATCATAGCTAATAATCCATATTTTAATAGTATACAAGTTTTAAGTTCTTTATTTTATAAGGCAATATTAAAAAAGATCCTGAATATCCCCTAGTGTGAGAAATGTAACATTTTTTCTTTAGGCATCCCCTCTTCTCTTATTTATTTACTGTCCCTCCAGTAAGTATGAAATTGAATATAAATTACTCATTATAATATTACTGTTGCTCATACAAAGCATAATTTTTTTTAACCTTCAATCTTGTTTGGCTATATAGCCATCAAATTGAAAATCAGACCCCTCTTGTCACATCCTCTCTTTCAGTATTTGTCACTAGTTCTCTCTTACGGTTAATACTATATTAATTATAACTAATAAAAAGCCAAGATTTCCATCTATCGAGTGATGTATTATATTACGTTTTCTGTACAGAGAATTGTCAGTTTCTCTATTAGTACAAGCTTCGTTCCCACGGGAAACGTATTGAGAGTTCACATGACGTTATCTTATAGCATCACACAAATATGATATGTTCAATGTCAGTGCTTATTCATCAGGTGATATGTATACTTTAACATCACCTTACTTATAGCATCATATAAATATAGTGTCTGTACTATTCACCAGATGTCATGATTCACCATTTTCTCATAGCTGGTGTCCACAAAAATCTGAACACAAATGAACAAGTTGAGTTATACACAAGTTGTAAAAAAAGCATAATTTGCATCTTTCTAAACCGACCATGTAATGTTAGGAGTGAAATGTCTTTCTGATGACAAATGAGGCACATCTAAGTTGAAAACAAACCCTATGCTAGCCAATAAAAAAATCAGGCTTAGCTGTGCTACTTAGAAAACTTTCAAGAAATTTCAGATTCAGTTGAAATCTGACCAGCTATTCTGTATTCTTTTAACAGCCAACAGAATAAAAGAAGTAATTTATGAAATTATATATAGTTGTGGGTGTGAACATACAGGAGAGAAAAAGGGGACACGTTTGAGACAGTAACTAAAAGGATAAAATTCCATCAGTGCAGAGCATGAAACTGTGAGTGGATGGTGCCATACGTCTGAAGGATAAACTTACATCAATATAAAGCATAAAATCATAGCTAATAATCCATATTTTAATGGATTAAAAATATATTTTATGTGGTACATAGGTTTGAAGGATAAACTTCCATCAATGCAAAGCATGAAGCTGTGAGTGGATGTACCATAGGTTTGAAGGATAAACTTCCATCAGTGCAGAGCATGAAGCTGTGAGTGGATGGTGCCATACGTCTGAAGGATAAACTTCCATCAATATAAAGCATGAAGCTGTGAGTGGATGTACCATAGGTTTGAAGGATAAACTTCGATCAGTGCAAAGCATGAAGCTGTGAGTGGATGTACCATAGGTTTGAAGGATAAACTTCCATCAGTGCAGAGCATGAAGCTGTGAGTGGATGGTGCCATATGTCTGAAGGATAAACTTCCATCAATATAAAGCATGAATCTGTGAGTGGATGTGCCATACGTCTGAAAGTTTATAGACTGAGGAAGAAACTGAAAACTTATGTGGAAAAAAGTTTTTACACATAAGAATTAGAAATTAAAGGTAATTTTTGGACTTCATTTATTCATTAATTTCAACCAATGGAATCTAGAGCCCACTTGCATGGCAACAACCGCGTTATGAAACTCCAGGTTATATTGATCTGAAGAAAGAGCTTGTGGATGATCCAGAACAACCATATTCCCAGTATCTTAACATCATACATCTGTTGACTTGTTTCCCAACAACTTGTAGATATCATAACATCATATGTCTGTATGTGGGATGCTATAAAGTCATGTGCTACTATTATTTCTAAAAGTTATTATATGGCTTATGTTTGAGTACTGGTACATCAACATCTATGTGCTGTAATTGTTTTTTGAGACTCATAATTTAGGTAGATTAATATGTATAATTATACATGATATTTTCACTAGATTAAAATACTTTTATTTTTGAGCTTTTGGCACAGTATCGTTCCTGCCATACAACAACTGTAATTATTAAAATCTAGAGGTACAAGTATTTACTCCTCGTTTTACCTAAACATCTTGAGAAAATTTTCAAGAATGATGGTTATCCAGATAAAATGATTTAACGTGTGTTATATGGTTCATCTGTCCCAACTACTAATGAACCACAACCTGACAATCACAAAGAAAAGGAAAAAAAGCATTTCTTCGTTATATATCAGGCCTCGAAGAAATATTTCGTAGGATAACAAATACACTTAACATTGCTGTAGTTTTCTTAAGTCCTCCTACACTTACTGAACAGTCTTACAAAGATAAAATCCCTAGTTCTTAGTTCTCAAAACGATTGAGAGTTATAGCACTTGGTATGAGTGTAGTAAACAATACATTGGGAAAACACAATGTCTGGTACAGGAAAGGTACTGGGGAAACACAAAGTCTGGTACAGGAAAGGTACTGGGGAAAAACAACATCTGGTACAGGAAGGGTACTGGGGAAACACAATGTCTGGTACGGGAAAGGTTCTGGGGGAAAACAATGTCTGGTACAGGAAAGATACTGGGCAAACACAACATCTGGTACAGGAAGAGTACTGGGGAAACACAATGTCTGGTATGGGAAAGGTTCTGGGGAAACACAACATCTGGTACAGAAAAGGTATTGGGGAAACACAATGTCTGGTACAGGACAGGTACTGGGGAAACACAACATCTGGTACAGGACAGGTACTGGGGAAACACAATGTCTGGTACAGGACAGGTACTGGGGAAACACAATGTCTGGTACAGAAAAGGTTCAAAGAGATATTAAGAACTGTTCTGTTAACACATCAGCTTTTTAACTTTTCATGTTCAAGAAAATGACCATATAATACATCTAAAAAGTTCTATAATAATAGAGAAGAAAACTGAACTGAGAAAAATCAAAGAAGCTGTTGCCACTCAAGCACAAGTCAATGCACCACCACATAGGTATTAATAAAAAGAACAGTCAACAATTATTCAATATTTAATGGACACCGCTTATGAAAGACATAAAACATTATTTTTTGTGGTAAAAATTTAACCTTTAATTTTGAAGTTATTGCTCTATATAATAAATATAACTGTATTTTCCTTATGTTTATTATATTGAAGTAATCAATTTACCTTCTATATTCATCATAATTCTATATGTTTAATAACTTTAATACCAGATGTCAGAAATTGTTACGATTGTTGTATAATTTAACTCTCAAAACGGGGTCGGTCAATTTGACAGAGTCACGTGACCCTTTTTTTCTCGTTTAAAGTTGATATAAATTTAATACTTAACTCTCAATATATTGGGTATATCTTCATGAAATTGGGC